GCTGCAATCGCGCGCTCTATCGCAAAGCTCGTTCTCGCGATCGCTGGTTTTATTGATCCCATCTGGCAGGAGGCCCTTGGTGTATTTTCCAGCCGGTTTTTTGGTTAACCGGCCACATTTCTTTCGTATGGGGAAGTGGGTTAGCCCCGCAATTTGAACGCCTGCCGTTGATTGTGACGGTGTTGTGGGTTGTCCGTCCAACTTCTTTGTTTGCGACGAACGTATGAACATCACGGCAGACCACACTGCGCGCGCGCTCCCAGTGACGCAAACAACTCAGTGTGAGCAGAATGTGCAAGTTATTGCTTGGGTATCAAGCACTTGCCATACATTACGACATATTTCCGCTCCAGTCGAGGTTGCGCCAGCAAACATTTCATTGGCTCACAGTCTATAAAGCGGAACTAGAAGACCTCCCGGTCCGGGGCTTAAGCCGCTGATTCCTCGGTCGTCACCAGCGTGCGAACATGCAGCGTCGACATGTCACGGCGGCCGCGCGCCGTGTCTTCTTACACGACGACTGGTGCCGCGGGGGAGCCCGCCACAACGGCCGGCGACCGACGCCGCGCGCCGGGTGGAAAGTGCGGGTGGAAGTGCGGAGCGGCGGCTCAGCAAAGGATGCGAAGCCGTGTGGTCAGGACGAGCCGGAGAGAGTGGCTCGGTGAAGGGAGGACGGCCCGCCGCCGGGCAGAGCGAGCGAGCGACGGGCTGTCTCCGGTTGGCCACGTGACCTCCCCTCACACCGTTCGTCCTAGTTGACATTGCAGCTCAGGTACCTTATTACAGCTCAGATACCTTATAACAGCTCAGACACCTTACTACAGCTCAGATACCTTATTACGGCTCAGATACCTTAGTACAGCTCAGATACCTTTACACCAGCATCAGCACCTCTGCGAAACATCCGACGTGCAGGTGTAAACGGCACAAGGATGGTAACTCGCGGGCATCATGTTCGGGTTCGCTCACTTTCTACGACAGGTATCCATGCCGCTGTGCTGATTCGGCGAACGCCCCACGCTCTCCACCCGCGTGACGTGTCATGCATGTGCTGCTGACAGACAGGCGTGCGCATCAAACATTGCAGTGGGGGGGGGGGGGGGGGGGGGGGGGGGCGGCGCAGTGACCGCAGTGACATGATGTACCATGTATGATGCGCCTGTAACTGCAGGTGTACACGCCTGACACCAAACACCGCGGGGAGCACCGGCTGGGACGAGGCGGGATATGTGCTATGAGGTGGCCGCCGGGGCGTATGCTCATCCGGTGCCGCTTGAAAACGGTGCCAGTTTCAGGGTTGTTTTTACGGAGGTGTGCGAGCCGGCCGGCACGCGCAGCGCCACGGGTGCAGAGATCTAGAGCGGGCTGACATGACCCAGTGTGGCGCTGACCCACTGCGGTGACAGACGCAGCGGCAGGCGCGGCCAGCCGGCCCTCCCCCGCCTGCAGCGCGTCACCGCGCGCGTGCGGCCGCTCATCAGAGACGGCCGCGCCGAGCCGTGAAGCGGTGGACGCTGGAGGAGGCGGTCAGTGGCGGCCGGTAGCTGCTTCTGAGCGCCAGGCTGCGGAAGTGTGCCGCTTACTAGGCCGGTCACTAACGTGCTCAGGGCAGTATCTACACTGTTGATCTGTGGCATGTACCTGCGTCTCAGTTCTAACGACTCTTTCACCAATCCGGAGATCCGCGTGTGCTGGCTGACACGCTCTTGTCGCGCGTTGTGACCACGCGGCGGTCAGTCCCGTCCGGACGTCCCCGCCGGACCGTGACCGGTCAGCTCGATCAGCGCCGCCGGCTCCCGTCCCGCCTCCGACCCCGCTTGGCTCGGCCCCCGCCACGGTCAGCGGCAGCTGCAGCCGGAGCCACGGCTCAGCGCCGGACCAGCGGGCTCCCCGGCTGAGAACTTTCACTGCCGGCCGCCGGCGTGCCTCACCTCACTCGCGCTCGCGCCGTCCGCTCGCCTGGCCGCTGGCCGTGCCCGCGCTGTCCGTGCCCGCGCTATCCGCCCGGCGAGTCCGCGCTGCCCGGTCCGTCCGCGGTGTTGACAAGTGTCCGCGCCGTCCGCCCGCGAGCCGGCGTCCGTTGCCGGTGCTTGTCCGCGCGGACACGGTCTGTGTCCGCTGTCCGTGTCCGGATACCGGGAGATCGCCGCCGACGGCAGGCCGCAGGATGAAGATGCTGTCAAGACACTCCGGCCTTCTGCTGCTACTGGTGAGGCTTTTGAATTCGCGGTCGCTGTGCGTATGTGTATGTGTGTGTGTGCCCAGATCGCCCTCTTGTGGTGTGTGTGATAGCCGCCCGCGATGACATTGTCAATGCCCCGGGAGGTGATGCGTATCATGTGCACGATGCATCGCCTGCACTGCGGAAACGAACATGTGCGGCAGCTATGAACGCTGAGGACAGGACCTGGAGCGGCCAAAGACATTGCCGTTCTGGTTATGTCTGTATGCACCCAATTATTTGTTGCATTAAGGGGAGAAAAGGGGAGCTATGCAAAACAATCATGCCCAGCCCAATGTAAATTGATATAAGGCTTGATCTGCCTTCCTAAAACCACACGTGTTTGCTGTCTTTTCCACTTACAAAACTTTTGCAATAAGAACGTTAAATTCTGCTATGCAAGGCTCCATATAGGGAGTTACAAATAATGTGCGACGTATATATCCTGCGTACAGCTACCGCCTGTCTGAGCATAATCACATGATGCGTTTGGAGCATGTGCTCCCGCCTAAGCCGGCGAGATTGTCCCGTTTCGGGGTCGGAAGGAGATGCATCAGGACAAACGAATGGAAGCGAGGATCGTAGCGCAGCTGGGTCCGGATGCGGGGGGGGGGGGAGGGGATGAGGAGCTGCGGCTACAGCTTTGTTCAGACGCAGACCGCGGCGACTTTTTGCCCCACTATCCTTGACGAAGTGCCGGTAGGTTTTCAGCGCGGCGTTGCATTGTTGCGCGGACTACGGACCTCATTTGCCGGTCAGGATCAGGGTCATACGGGCCGAACGGGCCGCGTAGGAGGGGTGACAAAAACGTCCCCTGCGTGACGTCGCCCATCGAGGACGGGAGAGAAGTGCATGGGCTGGATGTTGCCGGTGCCCCGGTCATATGCTGGATAGCGGTCTCACGCGACCCAAAAACTCTTCACGAGCAAACAGGCGCTATCTGATGAAAACGCTGTCCCTCCGTCCATATGCATACAAATGTGCTCCGCCTTGGGCCACAGCGTGACGCCAAACAGATGAGACGCTTGTGGGACGTGGGTGCATGCTGCCGTTGCAGCAAACGAATGGAAGCACACGGCGCTGAACTGAGCGGCATCCGGGTGTTCCCCACGTCGTGCACAGCGCGCGCGATCATTCCCACGTGGTGCACGATCACCCGCGGCAGGCGTGCAATCTTCCCGCCGAGGTGGTGCCGAGTGGACCGTGATATCGCATCGCGCGGTGGAAAGCGTCACCTTCTTGACGTCGGGCTGTGGCACCGTCTCGACGAGAAGCCCCGCTGCTGACCCCGGGTCACCGAGCGCCGACGGGCCACCTGACGCCTGCCAGCCTCTCTCCGCGGGTGGAGACGCAGAGATAATGAGCCGGGCAAAACAGTTTGAGTGGATGTCCCTTGCTGCACAGAAACCGAACAGCCTTCTTCAACTGCTGCACAAGGGCTCGAAACTCTTGATGCGTTTGGTTGGGGCGGTTGTGACCGATGCCACACCTGCCACATCTGCCCCCCCCCCTTCCTTCTCCCCGCTCGAGCTCCTCTCACCACCAGCCGGTCAGACGAGCTCAGCGCCGGTGTGCCGTGCCCCGTACTCCCCGGGGTGTGGCGATGAGTGGGCGCGCGCCGCCCAGGTCAGACGCTCACGCGGCACCGCGCGGTCACGGTTTTTGTGGCGCGGCAGGGGCGATCCGTGGCGCAACGTGAAGGCCGCGGCGCCGACCGGCGGTGATCGCGACGCACGCTCGGAGGCCGGAACTAGGTTGGTGACGTAACGGACTCCCGTGAGCGCGTCACGCCTCTCTCCCTCTCTACCGGGGGAGGTGTCACAACCGCGCGCCACCCGGTGACGGCGGCGGGAACGTGCTGGGCAGCGGGGTGGTGGCAATGGGCGGGCCGGCTGAAGGTGGGTGGCGGAGCGGGTTTGGAGTAGGAGGAGGCTCTGGTGCCGCAGGAGAGTTTTTATGGTTGTTAGCGTGGTGCTCCTTGAATACTGAATGCGTAGCAGGGATGACGTCGCACAGTGAAGCCGGCCGAGGGCGTCTCATATATCTCATATGTTGTTTCCACTGGATGCGGGCTCGGTATAGCCAGCCTTAGCTCATACCTAGATCATATTCATGGATCGAATAATGACATCGGTGTTTGGAAATCCAATTAGTTACATCATATCATCTTTGAAATCACTCATTTGGGGCGAAACAACGCACAAATGGCTGCAATAATAATGAACAGAGTACTCATGTAGATCAGGTGTTTACACGCACGCTCACTTACTTTAAAAATAATGTTCAGCTCCTTTGCTTTTTGAAACCAGGACACAGAAAAAGGCGTTTTGAAGGAGCTTTTGAGGTGCAGCTTGTTTTCATTTCCGCCAGACGGAAGCTTGTCCTGTTAGGCAAATCTGGCCAGCGGTTATCTTACATTCGTGGTGACTGCTCGCAAAAGAAAAACGGCAACGCAAATCCATCCCATCGTGCCCTTGACATAGCATAGCAGCTGTGACAGTTGTGCTGGGTCGACGCATCCCAGTGCCTGGGAGTCCCACAGTCCCGTGTGACAATATTGCTTTAGGAAATGGTAATCATGCGGAGGCGAAAATGTTTTCCTGAGAGTGTTAAAACAGCACCGCGGGACATCTCTACTCCGGCGCTGATGTCTGGCACATTAACTGCGACATTCTAGACTTAAGACAAAATGATGAGATGCGGCATGCATACTAGGCCCTAAAACTGAAACCACAAAGCCTAAAACTGCACGACTACGTCGTAATTTTTGACCAGAGTCATGCATGTTCCCACGCTGCGGCCGGCCTTCGGCTCGTTCGTTCACATCTGCTGCCGCCGACAGCTCACCGCCGGCTGCCGCGGCGGCGACGTTAAGGACCGCGCCATCGACTTCTTCAGCCTGCTGAAGAACCACCTGGTGCCGCAGGCGCCGGCGGCGCCCGACGCCAGCCTGAGCCAGGCGCACCGCACCGAGGTTCGAGGGTCCTGCCTGCACGAGTACTACGCCGTGCATGCCGGCCAACCGCTGACCGTCACCTCCACTAACTACCCTAGCCCGTACCCGCCGAGCGAGTGCCGCAAGCTGGTGCTGATGCCGGCCGAGCCCGGCACGGCCGTCGTCATGGTGTGCACCGACGTCGACACGTTCGGGACGGGCGTGCTGGGCGCCGTCAGCGGGGACATGATCGAGTTCCCTGGGCCGGCGGTCAACAGGCGGGCACACACCGTCTACGGCATGGACGTGACGCAGTGCGCCGCCGTGCCGTTCACGAAGCGGACGGCGCCCGGCCAGGCGCTCAAGATGGGCTTCTTCTCGGACGAGTTCGTGCAGCGCAGAGGGTTCTCGTGCCAGGTGTGGGGCGAGGCGGTGCAGGGCGGGGGAGGACCCGCGAGCGTCGGCGCAGGGTCCGAGCTGAGAGTTGTGGAGGAGACGGCGCCTGGTGGGACGGGCGGACGGCCGCATCAGCAGCAGCTGCAGCATCACGGCCAGCACCACCAACAGCAGCATCAGCACGGCCAGCACCACCAGCAGCAGCACGGCCATCACCAACAACAGCAGCAACACCAGCAGGAGCAGCAGCACTTTCAACATCACCCTCAGGAGCAGCAGCAGCACGAGGAGCCTCAGCAGCGTCCGGAGGCCGGCCCTGTCTCTTTCAGCGAGGGACTGACTCAGCTCGCACCCCTGTTCGGCTTCTCAGGGTACCGACCGGCGGGCGCCGGCGCCGCGCGACCACAGCGGCGACCCCAGGCCGGCGGGCTGCAGGCGCTGGCCGACTTATTCCGCGGACGACGCCGGCTCTCCGGGCCGGGCGGGACGGCGCGGCCGCGACCGGCGCGGCCCGGCCCACACCGCAACGGCCGAGGGTCCCACCGACCTCGCAGCGCCCGCGGCCACCGCGCCTCCCGCCGGCTGCCGGCGGGCCGCGTCAGGTTCCCCGGCCAGCGGCGCAGGAGGTCGTTGGCAGACCTGCTGAAGGCCAGGATCCTGACGGGCGCCAGGGACGTGGCGACGCCGACGGCGGCGACGGCGACGACGACGGTGGCGTCGCTGGTGACGCCGGCGCTGACAAAGAACGGGCAGGACGTGGCGCCAGAGACAGAGGCGGCACTGGACGGAATCAATGACCCGGTGGCCGAGGATCAAGTGGCAGCCGTCTCTCAAAGCGAGCCGGACCTCGGCTTGTTCAGACCGCCTGAGCACATCGAGTACATCATCACGCCACTGCGCACGCCCGTGCAGTACGACCCGGAGCGCGAGGGCAACCCGCCGATGTTCGAGCGGCGGCCGGTGGACCGCAACACGACCGAGTCGCCGGTGGTGGAGGTGCCGTACGTGGTGACGCCGCGGGCGGTGACGCTGCGCGCCACCACCGCCGGGGGTGAGACCATGACGCACCTGCTGCCGCTGCGGCCCGACCAGTTCCCCACGACGCCCCGCGTTCCCTCCGGCCCCCAGGCGCTCCTCGAGCGGGTGGATGTCGGCGAAGATGCAGAGGACGTTCTTACGCGGCTGGAAGGAGAGGAGTCGGACGATGAGGATGTCCCGGTTGTCCTTGATGTTGCTAACGTGGGTGCCGTCTCGGGTGGTGAAGGTGAAGTGCGTGACAATGCAGAGGGCGGTCATCATGCCGGCGGCGGTCATGTCGATGGGACCGTGGTCCAGGAGAACGCAACAGAAGGCGAGCCTGCAGAAGACGACTCCCAGACGGTGGAGAGAGTGGATGTCGGCGAGGAGCAGCCAGTTGCAGAGGAGGTGGTTGTCACCGAGGGCTTCCAAAAAGAGGGTAAGTTTACACCGATTGGCAGGCTTTGAGGCCGGTCCTTATCCTCTGTTGACGGCGCTCACCAAGAGACGACAGACGCGTTTTGACGCGTTTTGTGCCGACCGTGTCAGCATTTTTAGAAGCCATTTCGGGGTCATAAACCATTCCGCAGCTCCACTATGCGCGCTCGCATTTCGGAATTTATGGGACGACTTCCACAAATAACCGCGCGCAGTTTGTCATAACGGCACCGGAGATGAGGACGCCTTCGCCGCATGGATCCGCCCTTGGACGAATCGTTCAGAGACCATCTGTGTTCGGAATCGGAATCGACTTCCTGCCGCGTGTTAACGAATTGCTTCGGCCCGGATACAGTGTGGCGTCAGTTTACGTTTCTCAGGCTATGTATGTGTACTACTGCCTGAGGTTTCCAACAAGCGTTTGATGTTTTAAGTTGAGTCAATCCACGACATGATGAAACAGAAGCTCTCAAAATGGAATTTAGGAATAAAGCGCGGAAGTGTGCTTAAATTTGCACCGGACTGCTTAGGGTGTATGTTACAAACATGCTACCGAAGGCTTTTTAGTTGTTGGTATGAGCTTATTTCATTTTTCAGCCGTAACATGCATTGGACTTCCATAAAACGACAGCTCCTTGAAAGGCTTTGCTGCGAGCCAACGTCTGGCTCAACATGCGGATAATAGCTCAAAAGTACGCACTTTAAATAGATCGTGCCGCACGTAGTCTGCACATAACTTAAACGCTGCTTACTTTGAAAGCTCCAGGGCGCCTTATTCGTTATCATTGTTTATATATATTGCCGGCTGTGATAGGATTCAATCTAAATATCAGATCACTCCAAAAGCCGCAATATTTACCGTTTTCCCGACTTATCTCTCCAGACCCGCGAAGGATCTGTCCATTCGCGTCAACAAATCGAAGCGCTTTCAGCAATTTATGCGCGAATTCCCTTGGACAAACGTTTGTTGTTAAACGCATCGATCCAAGGAAATAGCTATCTTGGGATCCCTGTGCTACGGGCGAGTCCCAATTGCGATGGATGCCGCCATTTGCATGGCAAACAGCTGAGCTGACGACAGCTGAACGACACTCCCAAAAGTGGCTCTGTTTCCGTGCTGGCTTGTAGAGCGCGACAATTTCCCGCTGTCAGATAAATTTGAAGCCAGGACGTTATCCGAAACACTGATTTATCCTCGTGAGGAAAAGGATCTATGTGCGTTGATGCTGTGGTAATGGCGCAATGAACCGCATGCCGCTGTTGTTTTTGATACACTAGCATCACGGATAATCCAGGAAGTGTTCCGGCACCAACAAACCTGTTGTTGTTCCGACGGAAACATAACAATTTATACGATCATCATAATCCTCACTCACTGGTGGGAGCCCGTTTGCACACGTAACATGACCATGTGCATAGTTTCCGCACCGTTTTCCAATCCATCTCGATACGGCACCGAATTCCCCTCCCTGTCTGTCTGTCCGTCTGTCTGTCTTTCCCTTCCTCCGTTCCTCCCACCCCCTCTCCATCTCTCTCTCTTTTTCCCTTGTGCTTCGCTCTCTTTCACTCGCACCTTCTCTCCGTCCCATTTCCGCCCCCTCCCCCCTCTCGCCTCACCTATATGCTCCGCGCCTCTTCATCACCGTTGTGCCCTCGTTCACCGCCTCCCATCTGTTGTAATGCGGTGAGGCCTGGCGGGGCCCGTTTTCACCCGTCCCCCTGCCTGTTGCAGAGGAGTGCGGCCTGGCCGGGCCTGTTCTCACACGTCCCTCCGCCTGTTGCAGAGGAGTGCGGTCAGGCCGGGCCTCTTCTCACCTGTCCCCCCGCCTGTTGCAGAGGAGTGCGGCCTGGCCGGGCCTCTTCTCACCTGTCCCCCCGCCTGTTGCAGAGGAGTGCGGCCTGGCCGGGCCGGCCGTGCAGGCGCGCGTGTTCGGTGGCGAGGACGCCCTGCCCGGCAGCTACCCCTGGGTGGTGTACTTAATCTCAGACTCGCCGCGCGGCCCCGAGAAGACCACCTACTGCACCGGCAGCCTGATCTCGCGCCGCTGGGTGCTCACCGCCGCCCACTGCGTCGATTACGCCCGCTCCACCACCGTCCACATGGGCTACCTGGACGTCTCCAAGGAGACCAACCTCACGCTGAAGATGGAAGCGAACCAGTACCGCGTGCATCGGTACTGGACGCGGCTGGCGAAGGACCACGACGTGGCGCTGATTGAGCTGCCCGAGCCGGTGCCGGTGTCAGAGCACGTGCGGCCCATCTGCCTGCCGCGCCGCTCTGAGGTCGGACTGACGTTCGCGGAGGCACGCGGCGAGATATGCGGCTGGGGCAAGACCTACACCGACCAGGTGAGCTAGGGCCAGACGTACACCGACCAGGTGAGCTAGGGCTGGAAGTACACTGACCAGGTGAGCTATGACATAATATTCTGTACCGACCAAGTAAGCAGGGGTGGACGTACACCGACCAGGTGAACTAGGGCCGGACCTACACCGACCAGGCGAGCTAAGGCTGGACCTACACAGATCAGGCGAGCTAGGGCCGAACCTACACCGACCGGGCGAGCTATGACATAATATTCTGTACCGACCAGGTGAGCTGGTGTGGGCCATACAGGGATAATACCTACAAAACCAGTGGAACCGAGCAAGACCTATGCCCACCGGGTGAGGTATCACGATACCCATACCGGCCGGGTGAGGTATCACGATACCCATGCCGGCCGGGTGAGGTATCACGATACCCATACCGGCCGGGTGAAGTATCACGATACCCATGCCGGCCGGTTGACCTAAGACAGAGCTACAGGTACCATGTAATGTAGCATAAGACCTATACGGGCCAGGTAAAATGTAGCGGAACTTATGCGGGCCAGTTAAGATTCGTTGAAGCCTACACGGATCAGAGCAAATATAACTGAGCAAGACTAACGCAGACCAGGTAACATGCGGCAAAACCTAAACGGACCGGATGAGAGCACATGAGATCTCGACAGCTGGGTAGTGGAGGGTTCGTACCTTAATGTTTTGTTTGATGTTTGATGATATCTTCCGGTCCCAGGTGGGAGGCAGCTTTGTGCTGCAGCGGGCCGAAATGCCCATCAAGAGCAACTGCGACTGCATGACGTCGTTCCCCATTAACATCACGCCGCTGAAGGTCTGCACGCACGGTCGCTTCCACTCGCCCTGTCAGGTACGAACTCTGCCGTCAGGTACGAACTTGACCCTGTCAGGTATGAACCCTGCCCTGTCAGGTACGAGCCCTGCCCTGTCAGGTATGAACCCTGCCCTGTCAGGTACGAACCCTGCCCTGTCAGGTACGAACCTTGCCCTGTCAGGTACGAACCCTGCCCTGTCAGGCACGAACCGACCCTGGACCTTGAGAACGGGCGGTCTGGCGTCGTGGCCGAGTGGTTAAGTGAGAGACTTGTGACCGGGAGGTCGTGGGTTCGAGCCGCCGCTGTACACAGTGCTTGTGGGTTTCTCCGTGGCGGTGGGTGTGAACGACTACACGGTGATGTCTGTCGGTGAAATGCCTCATACACTGAATGCGGATCCCTGGCAACGGTTAAGGACAGCACTGGACTGGAAGTAGTCCGACTTGTCTGACGTGAAAACAGCCCTGTCTGATCTGCCTGACCTGAAAACGGCCATACCTGACCCTGTCTGACCTGCCTGACCTTAGACCAGCCCTGTCTGACCTGAAGCAGCCCTGTCTGACCCTGTTTGAGCAGTCTGACCTTGATTGGTCCTGAACACGTCAGATCAAAATGTCCTGCAGAAGAAAAGCATGAGAGCAAAGCATGGAAGCGGAAGAGTCGCCGTGTTGTTTTTTCTTGGGTGAGCTAGGGGTCCTTGGTTTCACACGTGAGATGATCAGATTTCCCTGTGGCCTGTTTTCCGCCATGAGAGTCACGTTGGCCCGCTATCTGACCACGCTTAGGACAGAGTGCTGATGCTGATCTGGGCTCCTGTGCTCCGGACAGTACACAAGACTGATGTGGGAAACCGCAGCGTTCCGGCCACGGGTTTGCTGAACGTGACGGAAGGCTGCTTGTGTTCTCATTTGGTGCTGGGCTGTGTCAGCACGCTCGGACGTTTGACACTTTGTGGCGGGCAGTCTTCGGCTGCTTGTGTTCTCATCTGGTGCTGGGCTGTCAGCACACTCGGCCGTTTGACACTTTGTGGTCGGCAGTCTTCGCCTGCTCAAACTTTTGCTTTGCCCGGCATTCTGCCCACGCCTATGTGACATATGCCTTGACTGTGTGTGCTTCCTCTCCGTCATTCTGCTCCAGTCCTGCAACATGGATATAACCCCGCGCAGCCTAAGAAACCTTGGGGACAGGGCTTCCACCGGTCCGACAATGTCAACAAAATATTTTTTCAACACGGTTTTCTGCAGCTTCGGGGTTAAAGAAAGCAAATTTTTCCCCAGTCACCCCTCCTGTGTGTGCCCCCGTCCGTGACCTGCTGTTGACCCGCTGCTGACCTCACGCGCGGCAGGGCGACTCTGGCGGACCGCTGCAGGTGCGCAGGGACGGCCGCTACACCCTGGTAGGCGTCAGCAGCATCACCAGCGCTCTGGGCTGTGACGTCGGCATGCCGGCCGTCTACTCGCGCGTCACCGCCTACCTCGACTGGATCGAGAACAACAGCGGCTTGGTGGTGCCGCTCTGAGAACAACAGCGGCTTGGTGGTACCGCTCTGAGAAAAACAGCGGCCCGGTGGTGCCACTCCGAGAACAACAGCGGTCTGGTGGTGCCGCTCTGAGAACAACAGCGGCCCGGTGGTGCCACTCCGAGAACAACAGCGGCATGGTGGTGCCACTCCGAGAACAACAGCGGTCTGGTGGTGCCACTCCGAGAACAACAGCGGTCTGGTAGTGCCACTCCGAGAACAACAGCGGTCTGGTGGTGCCACTCTGAGCACCCTCTACCCGCGAGCGTGCTGCAAGCGGTGCTCAGCGCCACTGGCGACTATCAAAGGTCGGTGGTCAGGGGTTTTGCGTGTTGTAGACACAGTTTGTAGCCCGCGGCCTGCGAGCTACGGGATTTCTACAAACGAGACACGGTGATTGCACAGTCGCTGTGTAATCACGGCGGCTTGCGTTTGTGCATTGCTCAAGTGCATAGGCTGGGTCTGTATTAGAGTATTTCTACTCGAGACTGGTGAGATTACTTACGCTGCTTCGATGCTCGTAATGTATACGTTTTATACAAAGTCGTAAATTATGAACGTATGTGGTGCGTGATATGAATTCGTTAGTTGAATAGCTCGTGTTGTTTAAGGACCATTCTTCCGCGCGACGAATGTTTTCTCAGTTCTTGAATATTTGTTTTCTGCAGCTGCAGAAGAGACTTGGAGACTTGAGTGAGGAACAGCATTTGATTGAAATTGATTTCGGATCTTGCCATGTAGGACCATACAATGACATTCAGCATGTGTGCGGAAGTTTCAATTGTTGTACCGTTTCCAATGATATGTGGCTGGGCCTGTTACCGTAATGACGCTGTGTATCACTGTTGATCTACGTTATTTTATTACATGATGCATATGAAGTAAAGTTTTCATTTATTTATACCGTTTTTTGATACTTTAATGGCAGCATTGCCCTGCTCTGCAGTAAATATGTGCTGAGCTCGGAGGGTTGGCCTGTGATGTTGGTCCGTGTGAGTGACCAGGAGAGGCTTATTGCGAATCCTTTCATTTAAACCCACTCACAGTTGTCAATATTTGCAACTCGAGACCCAGAAACAAGTCTCAACTTATCCCTATGCCTGCTCAAGACGCAGACGCAAACCACATATGGAAGCCTGCAGAGGTTGCAGGGTTCAACTGTGGTACCACGATGCAGAACCATAGCGGTGCGCTTAGACGCACCGCTATTTGCTTCAGAAGTGCACGTCGGAAATGTGGACAGTCAGCAGCGCGGGCACAGCCTGGCAGCAGAGAGAAAGCGACAGGTAACGATCGGAGACCCGTTACTCGTGGATGTTATTACGTGGCGAATCGCATACTTTTACATTGTAGTTGGCTTCGCAACAGTCCAAACGCGCACGCCATGGGACTATTGTGTTCGACGGGTGCAAGTTCTATATCATAAGATCATCTAACTTGCGATTTGTACTTAGGATTAGCTCCAGCAGCGACAGCGTCGAACCGCAAAATACTCTCCGTTGACGCCATTCCCCCGGATCAGCGTACGGCTCAGCTGACTGCCGAGTGTCAGCGCCGTCCGAGGTGCCTGCCCCCACCAGGCGGTCACATGGCATGTGGGTCATGCCGTGACTCTGTGACTGGTTTCGGGGTCACAGTCATGCCTAATAATGCTGTCGGCGTCCTCTCAAATCCTGCCGCCGCACTACGGGGCATTGTCCGCGACTGTAATGGTGTGAACGGCGTGAAATGAGACGGATCCTTCGCACGAAGCGACTTCCGCGTGGTCACCGCCGGATTCCAGGCTGCAAGGTGCTTTGGGCTACCGCATGGTACATTACAGAGTTTATCGTACAAGGTCACTGACCATGGTGGTGGCACGGACCATGAATGGAAGGCGACCCGCGAACCTGAACAGGCTTGCATCGACGTTTGATTAGACCCGGCGCATGCGCCGTAGGCTCTTGCAGAAGGAGCGCAACCAAAGGAGCGAAGGAAGTGGAGGAGGCACTCCACACGCTAACGGTGCATACCTCGGCGTTTTCATCTCTGCGGAGAATCCCCTTCGCGCACTGCAGCGCTCCGACTGTCGCTATCGCTGAGGCGCGTTGAACAACAGCGTCAGGACACGCAAACGTGGGTGCGGGTAATAACGACAAACAGGTGGCTGATTTGATCATTTGTGCATGTAGAGCAGTTGAGAGAAATGTATGCTGTTTTAGACGTCAGCCAAACACGGCCCATTGGTCAGAAAATTGCTACGTCAACCTGTCATGCAGAGCAGTCATAAGTCACGCGCGCTGTTATTGAAGCATTCATGCATTTCCAAATGTTTAGAATGAGAAGTTAAGTGCGCTGTTGATTTGGAACATTTCGAACCATTATGCTCCCAGATGCCAAGCGCATTTAAGTGAGAGGAAATGTCTCGCGATCAGGACAGAATGGACGGGGGCTTATACAAATAATGGTGAAGTCTGCAGGTGGTTGATGAATACGCTTGGCTGGTACCATTGAACCGACTTGGGCAAAATTGTCCCATATCTTGCACCATGTGCATGACGATTTCGGTGCTCATGAAGCAATCAGTGGTTAGCAAGAACTGTGGCACTAACGTCATTCGAAAATATGTTAATACGCCTAAATTTTTTTTAGAAAGGTCTTAAGAAAACAAAATATTTCTAAAAAAGATATTCGATGACTGTTCAATAATTTTATATGGTAGGCTTTTCGGAATCTCATGTTTACGAAATAAGAGGCTCAGCTCCCGCCCGTATGTAAATTGAAGGTTTGACCGGCAGCCAGCGTGCAGGTGGTTGATCCCGATGACTATGCATGCCAAATTTCCGTGGACACTTTCCCACGAGAGCACTAAACAGACGAGTTTCAGTCCGGCCTTGCAGACACTGCAGAAGCGCAATTAATCCGGACGCCGGCCCTAGATCGTGGGGCGTTGACCGCATTGCAAGGCTGCATCAGGTGGTGTCGGCACTGAGACGGAGGGGGCAGTGGTGCAGCTGCATCAGACGGCGATCTGGTTCAAATGGTCGCCGTCCTGGAACAGTTGAGAACTTTCTCAAGGATCAGTCGTGGCGCCTTAATAGTTAATGGCTCTGCGTGGAGACGGCGATGTGTTTTGCATGACAGGCAGATGGCGAACACTTTCAGAGACGAAACATCAGCTGGCTTCTGATCCGATGTGATGGGCATGCGACTAAAAATGTTGACAGCTACAAATTACATTTGGCTATGCATCAGAGATGATAGATAACATGCCGCTTTGCTTTCCGGCTCGAAGGACATTAAGCGCCTACGTTGCACTGAACTTGGTTTTCAGAGAGCCTTTTGAGCTGTACCACCCTCCCCCCCCCTGTGAAATCCTGCATACGCCCTCGCCGATGCGTAGAACTACCATGTAGAGAGCACCTTGACACATTCGGTCAGATTTTACGAAGAGAAAATGAAATACCTGGCCGTGGGATGTGCCGTTACATCGAACATGAAGTGATGGAGGAGAAGCAGCGCCCGGAGGCACGTGCCCCTACGTTCTCAAATCTATGGCATATTTGTATGGATATGTGACTAAATTTTGCCAGTTTGAGAAGTCAAAGATAGCTCACGAGCGATTTGGCTTTAGGACTCGCAAAAAATTAGACCGGAGATAAGCTCTCAGAGTGAGCGGGGTATGCAGGTGGCCTTTGATTTTACATAAATGTTTTTAATGTTATATAGATGCTGAAGACTTCCCAATATTTTTTTTCTCCCAATTGTTTGGCGGTGCCATAATAGATTTGTAGCAAACACTATGAAAGGCACCCAACTAAGCAACAGCCAAGTAAATTACAAATAATTGCGCTTTTTTGCACCAATATGCAAGGCTTTTAAAGACAAATGGGCCTTGAACACATTCTGAGTTAGGTGCCATGCAGAATGCATCCGGAACCAATCCAAGCTGAGAATAATCGTTTCCCTTTATCACGGGAAAGTGACCATCATGAAAGCCAGCCAAGCTATCTGTGTGGCCAGCGGGCAAAAGCATGGGAAATCTTGCATCTTGCATCTGCATCTTATGGCGTCAGGTTGGGGCCGTTTACCCTAATAAAGTATGATATGTTCTCCGGCCAACCACGAACCTTGGGTGGCTGGAGGCAGGGGATACCACCCACTCCCTTGCTTGTTGATGTGGAGCTCGCATGAAGTATATCTCTGTTGGCACAGACGTCTCGCGGGTGAAATTAGCGAGCGCGAAGATTGTGCATGGACGACTGTGGTGGAGCTTGGAGCTTAAACTTGTTTTAATTCGCGAAGGGTTTCGTCTAATACGGTGTCATCAGACTTTTATTATGTTTGTCTCAGTGTTGCACCGCATCATTTGGGAGGGATTGCTCCTCTTTAGGCAGCAATGCACCGAAGTTCGCCGTAGTTTTCCAATCTAGCAGCGCCACCTATACGTGCCATTCAAGGAACTACCTTGATGGGAATCGAAGAGGACGCCACAAGCCCAACCCGCAGCGGACATCAGGTACCTTGGTATCGAGCCTCTCGCTCTATTTTATACCAGTTATAGTTCCTGCTCCAGGCATAGCAAGTAAAAAAGATTAATTGGATATTTTTGCTGTTTTTAAGGCGACGCAGTGCATTTAAGTATGCCATGCTACTTAAACCACGGATTCAAACATGCGTGCTGGTTAGACACCAAACCCGCCAAAGTGAGAGGTCTTGAATTATACTAGCTTATATTGAAGCTGCAATCTTTGCATTATGCAACATTGCAACCGACATCATCAACGCCTAAACCGATGCAATTTTGATGAAATCGTCTCCTCTCACCTCACAGAAGGGCTGCAAGGTGGCATGTAGTGGGATCGGAGCACGATCAAATAATAAGGCGCCAGTCGCTCCGTCTTAATAACCAGCAACCAGTTGCTCCGCACGAGACGAAAGCAGCACCTGAGGTAACTGTTAAGATAAATAGTCAGCCATTGCATGCATTTCGATGAAACAATGTGACGGAAGTGGGGTTAGCAATGTACTAACATGCTGCGTGACGAAAACCTTGTAACAAAGCAGCTTCACCGAGCCATCTTCAAATTTGTGAATGCAAGTCTGTAAGTCTACTCTTATCAAGCCTCAGTTTTGTGTGACCGCAGGTCAAAAAGTCGGTAGTTAACCTCGCAGGACCATAGGAGAGGATGATAGCCTCACGAAAAAACTGAGCGGGAGCGCTGTAAAATGTGACACAAGTGATAATAAGTTAATCACGCATGTGAAGAAAACCCATAGCAACTAAAGCCAGCCTATTCCATTAAATATGATGTTTGCCACAATATCTTAAGCTTGAAACGTTCTCTCTAATAATTAAACCCTCGCCCTGATTCGTCGGTTTTCATGCCGTAGAATGATAAGGGGGTCGACATGATTCCCCAGCGGTTTCCAAACTAAGAAGAATAGAGCTTGGCGGGAAGAGCAGTGCGATTTTTATCTAAAATTCTGCGATTGACGATAATTTTTTTTTACCGCTAGTTCAAAGATTTAACCACTAGGGTAGGTTAAAATAATTTGTTTCTTCAAAATCACGCAAATTTTGCATGCAAGCCTTTGCAAAACCATCCCACGGAGCTGCACGAAAGGCGCAAAAGTGTTGCTCGTATATTCTGAGCATATCCACACTTTGCGGTGCATATTTTGAGAACACTTTGATAATGATGTATCTCGTTGTGATTGTAAACTTAGCTGAGTCCGTTACACTGCTTTTTCGGGGGCTCTATCATGATAAGTTAAGAAACGGCAGCCACAGAGTTGGCTCTGGCTCCTTATCCCGTGACAAACGAAAACGACGAGGTTAAATGGAAAACGAAAGGAAAAATGAAAACGACAAATTGAATAAACAAATG